TCCTGAACTGGTGTGCATTAAAAATGTCCAGTAGTTATGCTACATATTAAGCATGTAAGTATTAAGTATGTACATATTAAGCAAAGCCATCCAGTATTGATTTCACAATTTCTAGAGGTGGAATCAGTGTTTCATGAGTTCTTGTGATTTATTAATATCACTGCTAAAAAATTTCAGCTCACTAATAACTAAAATGACTGACTTCACCTTTCAGACATTGAGTTTTGTTATACCTTTGCCTAATTTGTTGAACTTGAAATATTATCATTTTTCCATTACCATATTCTTGCTGATTTCAATCAACTCGGTTTTTAATCATTCACTTTATTCACGGAAAAAAATAGTTGACTGAATCTTTCCCATAAAAGATGGTTTTGGCTCTTGAGGTTCTTTAAATTCTTACCAGTTCCTCAGTATTGTTCTTGCATTGAGAAGAGGACTCAGTATTCCATAACTGTGGACACACAATAAACTGAATATGATAATTTAACCTATTTCAGGTGTCCTCCTTTATGTATACTCAAGGAGTGATTGCCTAGGGTCCTGCATAGAATAAAGCTCCTCATTGTATGAGTAGGTATCATCTGCTATAAAGTTAAAACTGAAAGCTACATCTCTGACTCTTACAGACTTATTAGATACCAATCACTTGCCCTCTGTATGACTTACCACTTTTCCAGTTGTTACATTATCTGCAAATTTCATCAGTTAAGTGACTTTTTTCCAAGTTTTTAACAGAAATATTAATATTGTAAAGCTGACAAACAGTTTGTCCAAGAGCCCACTGCAAAAGTTACCCTTGAGCAGTGATTTTTTGTGTATACATACTTTGGGACACTTAGCTGTTAGAGTATTTGGAATCATTCTGTATGTGCCTTGTTATTTTTGTATCAGCTGAGTTTTTAAACAAACTGTAACAGAGTACCAAGCAAAACACCTTTCAAAGGTCCAATTATATAGACAGAATTATTTTAAGCAATCTGAAGTTTTATCACATCAAAATCTGTTGTAGGTTACTCTGAAAATATTTTTGCCCACACAACCGTTTGATTACCAAAACCATTGGTTACCTATATTTCTTTCTTCCCTTTATATATGGAGTCTGTAAAAGCATTGCACTGTGTGTCATATATATGGGAGTGCTGTCAGCTGAACTGGTCTATAATTTCACAGGTCATTCTGTTTATACTGCTCAAATATTCCCAGACTAGGAACGATCTACAATTATTTTGATGTCCTTCTCTGCTTTCCAACATGCATTAAAATCAACAATAATACAGAACATTCTTAACCACCTCACTTAAAACTACCTAGACTGTATCTTTGCTCACTGGACATACAGATTGTTTTTCCTTATTTCTCTTACTTTTTCAGTTGTATTTATGATTATAAATATCTCTGGAAATTAAATCTCCTTTCTAAAACCTGTGGTATAATTCTTGCCCATTACAGTGATGTAACAATGCAGGGAGAACATCTCTTTTCATTTGCTTGCTGTTAAGGAGAAATTTTTCCATCTTTTTTCTCTCTCATTTCTTCAGCTATTTTGGTATTGTAATTGCTGGTTATTTTACTTAGATTACGTGTGTATGTAAAAGAAGCAAGAAATCTTGATTGTCACAAGATTCTGGAAAATTCCACATACAGTGCAAGCAAAATGCAGTACAGCTTATAAGGAGATCAAAAACTACTCAAAGGATTTTGAGGGGGAAAAAAACCCTGAAATGATCTTCTCGGCAGATAATAGGCTCTGCTGCTCCAGTGTTCTACCCTTGCATTTACTAACTGCAAAGTTAGCTTGTAGAAAAATCATTTTTCATTATTTTCTGAGTGATTTATGCCTTCCCTGGGTAAATGGCAGCTTTAACTTGGGTAAGCAACTGGCTCCAGTGCAGCGATTCTTAGATTCTTAATGAATTTTGAATTTTCCCCAGTATTCTGGGTTCACTGAGTTTTATGGGCCAATAACCTGGATTTATCTCTTTTGTTTAAAGGGGCTGTTTTTTCCTAAATGGAGGCAAACATATTTGTAAAGAGATCTAAGTAGCAGAACACTATTACTTTGTGTAGCAAGTCAAAGGCTCTGTTATATTCATAATTCCCTAAGCATTGCTAGGGAGTGAAGTTTGCCTTCTGTACTGTGCAATAATTTCCTAGTGGTACTTTTATTTGAAATGTTAATTTTCCTTCTTTTTTTTATTTATTATTAACATTATCTATTTGGAAAAGTGTGTATGTTTCTGTGCCCAGATTTTGTAAGGAATTAACGCACTAAGGGCTTGATTCACTGCTGCCTCCTTCCAGCTTTATGCCACTGTAGCTCTGCTGATTACAAAGCATAGCTAAAAACTGGAGTCACACAGTGGTGTAGTAAGATCTAAATGTTAATTGAAATGATGTTCATTGAGTTTCGTTCTTCTTTACTGAGCCATAATAGAAGCAAGGATCTGGAGGCAATAAGAAAATCACTGGAAGTGCTTAGGTAGCCAAATTGGGTATATGGGATGGCTACCCACAGATTTTGGAGAACACTTATAGCCTAATACTAATATGGGGGTTTTATGTCTCTTTTCTGATTTCAAGATTTGAAAGCATTTTACAATATGAATAGACTTTAAGGCAAGGACTAACTATCTACATGTTAAAATGTGATTAATAATGGTGAAAATAGGGAAGTCTTATCTACTGTAGCAGCAGATTGTACTAGAGATAGTTCAAATGGCAACAAAATGTGTAATGTGGTTTTCTAAAAGATATCTTTGAAATCCACATCCAATCTTGCAGAAGTACATGCTTCTGTACACCCTAATCAATATACTCCATAAGTACTCATGTGTTTAATGGTGTAGATTGCAGCCTTTGTATGGTTTTAAGCATTTCATTTCAGTGCTGCCTCAGTTCAAAATGCTGCCTTTAGTCATTGTGTTCCTTAATGTATGCCCCACATGAAACATCTACCAGAACTCCTTTCATGAAGAAACACTGGAAAATATGAGGCTATTAGAAGGCTTCAACAAGTTGAATTCATTCAGGAATGTGCAATATAGGCTTGATCCAGTCTGTTTATCCACATTGATTATCAAGGAAATGCTATGTGACAGTATCACTTTATATTCAATATCAATCCACCAGTGTTTCAAAAAGAATCATTTAACAATGAATAATGCTTGATTGTAGATCTCTGCAGTAAATTAGAATATCCTAATTTAATAGAGTATGATCTGTTATTTGCCAACAAACATAGAGATTGCCTTATAAATCATGCAGTAGTGTGGTTATAGAATAACACTATACTGAATTATATTTCATTACTCCCTATTGAACAGTCATGTTTCTGCCATATAATGTAATTTTCTGTCTTTCAACTTAGTTTTTTCTCCTAACAGAAAATACAAATTAGTCCTGAAGAAAAATATTTACCGGGGGTAGGCAATTAACTGTTCATTTCAGGGAATGGCACCAAGTACATGAAAATCATTAAAATGCTCTTTCTTTTTTCATCTCACTCTATGTAGCTGTTTATGTATTTAATGATTCATAATGAGTATAAGGCCACAGCTGAGGAAATAAAAAAGAATAGGTAAGTCTATAGATTTATGTGTTCCAGACACAAGCTTTCTGTAATGTTAATTCTTGTTCACATCACTCACTGATGCTTCAGAAAGAGGTTTCTCCTGAACTCATCTTCTGTTAATGATTAAACATATTTAAGGTGAAGTGCAGTATGTTTTCTGTTGCTGTCTTACGACTATTTATCCTGGGTACCTTGCTTAGCATGCGTGTTAAGGAATCATATCATATGCTCCTAAAATATGGAGCTGGAAAGGTTTGGATGGAGACGGGCCTTATATACTGAGTAAAAATAGCGAAGAATTTACTGAGCAAGTGGGGTGGAATTAAAGAGTTAAAATAATATTACATCCAAAATCATTCCTTCAGACTGGGAAAGACTTATAAAAATTTGAGGCAGCTTCCATGGTAGAACTGAAAGGCTTTATCACAAAAAATATATCCCACATTTCCAGTATTTTGGGAAGGGATCATTGAACATCCTAAATAGTAACCTGGGTTGCTACAGTATCTAAGAGCATATTTTTAGCACCTACTAATTTGAAGATGTACAGTTGAATTTGGCAAGTGCCTAATTCAAATTTTGGAATGTTGAGACATTTCTTTGGATGTCCCATTATCAGCTTAAATCCTTTGGAAAAAAATTGGCCAGTGATATGTACTTGATTTCAGTGTATGATGGAAGCTTCCTGACTAGAAGTCCCAATAGTTTGAAATTCAACAAGTTCTTAAGGCCTCTTACATCCAGAAGAACCTTGGGGAGCGTC